GTCTTTTTACTTATTCTCTATCAGAGCGTTATCTGCGCTAGTTGTCTATAGATTCGTACGCATGACGAGTGACTCGTTGTTTTTCAATTCTGCATGCGGATGTCATACTGATTTGGTGACTGAAGTGAAGACTGTATCGGCAACGTCTATGAACCTTACTGTCAGATTACATGAGAAAACCTCGAGGAGGGAGTGGACTAATCCGAAATTTCCAATAACTTGTTCCACGCATTTTTCATCCATCATTTCCAGTTCGAACTATATGTCTCTCTCACAGATGTGGTCAACCAAACCATTCAAGGGATTCCACTCGTTCATAGTTATTCTGCCAACCCCTAAACTCAAGTTCACAAGAACTTATAACTTTCATCCCTGCTCATAACATTTATAATATCTGTTCTCAGAGCAGAAATAGTGATAAATTATTGATCTTGTGTTTTCCTACGAATAAAATGTTCTTGGATCAGTTGGAATCATTTGGGATGGCTTTCAATCTATCAGTAACATTTTACGACCCCAATTATACAGGGAATTTTGTACAAGAAAGTAGTAACACTGTCTATTGTACAACGTTCTGATGGTGAAAGCAGTAATGGGTCGATTTAACCACGTCGATATGATGAATGTTAGGAATCTGTTCATTTTTGAACCTTGGTCTGTAGTTGAAAACTTATTGCAGGTAGAATACACATTGGTTTCTTTCTTTGTGAAAGACTGGATGTATCAGGACACAGAAACGCCTGCAGTTATAGGTTTGCCGTGGAGTGAGGGGAAAATTTCCGCGATCACGTTGTGATGATGTAACTTCCGCAAATCCTGTTGTTTTAGGTNGCTATCAACCTTGTTAATCCCTCCTATGGCTATATTTGTCGGCATTCAGTTAACTATCAATTTCCGGTTGCAGCCTTTTCGGAAAACCTGAACTAAGGATTTAAAATTGGTATATTCATTGTGCTGTATGCAAATTTATCACTTACCGGAACGGGGTGTGGAATAAACACCTTAGCGGCATTTGTACCTTTGAACGCCAGATAGTCCACATTATTGTAAACGCTGGTTGTGTATTGGTATAAAAGACACTGATCGCCATTACCCCTAAAAACCAAATAAACGTGAATTTGTTAGCTGTGCAACTCCGTGTGCTGTTATCACGTGTACGGGGAAAATTGGTGATGAACAAATGGCATTCAGCTACATTACACGTCGATTTTTTTAATCTTAATTATTGTTACCTAAATATCTGACGCTGATGGATAAATCGGTTTCGAAAACTTCATTGCGCTTCAAAGACTCACAGAGATAGGAATTCAAGTGGTAGCCTCGGCGGGGTCTGACGTTTTAATTCGACTTTAAACCTCAAGTCATGTAACTACGACTTCACCTTGTAAAACAGTAGGGTTATTCCGAACAAGCAGATCTCTGGGGGTTTAAGTTATCCACCTCCTCGGAAAACCCTTGTGGATTCGATAGTTAAGGTCAAATCAATATGGCTTTAATAGTTGCATCACTCATTCGCCATATTATTAAATGAAGCATGACCCGCCTTATTCACATCAGATTCCTGCAGGAATGCTTTTGAAAATTGTCTTGTGGGTTGGTCATAGTGTTGCTCTACTTTGCCGTGAACCTCTACACTACTTTGTGTAAAACCTGATACATCTCTTTTTGGCAGCTTTTTCATCCCCAAAAAGTTTTGAAGTGATGGTGAAGTTACTACATATGCACTTTGTCTAACTGTCAGGTGTTTCAGCTTCGCATGTCAATTCCTATTCTGTTGCTTTCAAACTCAAAACGGCATTTCACACTTTTATTGCACATAAAAAAAATCAGCTGCCGTTGAACTTCACAGATTGACAACGCAGTCCAAAACGTGTTCTACTCTTCACTTGGTTCGAATCTGTTCTTGTTGCTTATCATGGTAGTAATCTCGGGATCTCCCGTTAAACGTATGTTTGGCTCTGAATGTGAGAGAAAATGTGAATCATGGCTTTTGTCACTGCTCTTATTTTCTTTACCCACCCGTTCAGACAAAACGTGTATGACCGCTTTAAAAGTGAACAACTACTTCACTTGATAACCATTTTTATTATTCGATGACTTTTGGAGATCGTTCCAGTAAACTGCCCTTTCTAGGGTAGTAAATAGAATAGATCGTACTGAAAACCCTGTTAATAGTTCTTTGAGACCAGTTTTTTGAACGTTCACAACTAATAATTAATCCAAGAGTACTGACACGGTGTCAACTTTTGTGCGAATAGGTTACTAAAATCCAAGTCTGAAGTGTTGTGGTTTATTACGTATTAGATTGACCCTAGTGGTATGTTATGGTGAATACAACTCAACCTTTGGTGCACAGGAAGCAGATAAAAATTTCGTGTGGTGTTCCTAATCGATTCACTTCTCTTGTTCAAACTGCTATAGTTATTCGTTCCTTTGACAGTTATAGTATTCTCATAGTATCTTATTTCTCTATATTCATATATGTAGATATATTTATGTATATATGTTTTCAGTGTGTTACGCGTGTTTCTTGTCAGACAGTCCTGGAATATTCCCAGTTCCTTTTCATCAACAGTGGAAGACTATGTCTCGGATGATCAAGACCCAATGGCATCATGGATATTTGAAACACAAATTCAGAAAACTCATTTATGAATGCCGTTACAGTGCTTTCGTTTGAGAACTATTTAGATGATAAGAGTAGGTACGTGATGAAAGGAATACGAGATCATCAAGGAAATGGGAGTATGTATTCGTGACCTTAGGGTATTCAATTATCTTTTATTCGGTATTAAGAGTTGTTTTTAGTGTCTCGGTTTTCGCGTCTGCATAGTACTTAGTGTTTATGTGTTATATGCATAACCCTGAAAGATCCACTCTATTGGTTGGATATGTCAGAGTCTCTTATCTTATCCATTAGCCTTGGCTAACTGAAGGCAGGCCAACGTATCAATTCCTGTTGCTTTCCGAGGCATGACTTTTAATTCTCAGTGGAAGACTTGGCTTGGGAAGCTCATGTCGTTTCCCGTATAGCTGACTTAAGATGGATTATGCACTAGTCGTGGCCCCGCTGTGTTCCTCATGTCTTAGAGTGTACTCATCCGGATAGTTCCTTGTCAATGGCGGGTCATAGAAATGGCGAGCTGCCAAGCAAAGATAGCTACTTCAACGATAGGGCGTCACACTACGTATTTGTAAAACGTCACAAAGAGAGAAACCTCATAAAGCAAATAGAAACGCGCTGCAGTACAGTACTAACCATTGAAACCTCCAACATCCTGTTATTTAAATATATTAGTTAGCATCGAGAACAGTTGGTACTTAACAGCCTCTAACTGGCTAAAGACACCATTATGAATATTGATCGTATTTTTATCTTATTTTTTCCCGTTTCCTTCCTTTTTATTGAATATACAGTGATACAACTTTCAGGAAGGGAGAAGCGGCCAATGAAAGGGTGGTCATACACCATACAGTGAATGGGAACGTAAGTGGTGATGGTGGAGTTTCAACACACGTCCTCCACGATGATGGCGTTACTACAGTACCATCATCACCACCCATCACATCAGCTAAACGCATGCAATAAGGTTATTGTTATTATCGTCATGCTTCAATATTCGAACAATCTCATATCCAGCAGTATGCAACAAATAGAAACTACCAGTTTACCTTGTGCGACCATCTGCAGCGTTTCGTAGACACAGAGTGAAAAACACGTCACATTGCGGGTGACCCAATCGATCACACACTCTGCCCGATTCCAGAAGGGAACCCGGATTTGTGTAGACCCATTCGATTGTCAGATATGCACCTCCGTGTTTCTGAAACAGTTATGTGCAATCGATTTGAATTCCGTGTGAGCATCAAATTGAAGGTAGTGAGTAGGCATGACCGGTCTAAGCAAATAACTGACATATGGTTGTGTTTATCCGAGACCTGTTCGGAGATATGCATTTGCGAAACGAAAGCTGCCTGTGGCTAACCGAATGGTACCGAAACACTTTTATCACTTCGAATTCCCTTCTTCAGCAAAGCGGTACGAGCATGTGATCGGCCCCCATCATCCAAAAGAGGCCGCTTCTTTTTGTTTCTTGATAAGATTATTGTATAAAGTAAACAAATTTCTATCAATGCTTTTTTAAGTTTTTAAGCATTCTCGCATCAGTGCTCTAATCACCCCATTCTGATAAAAATGGAGTTGAGTATATAGTAAACGCGTTTCATTTGCGTAGTCAAACGACAATGCTCCTCAAACAGTAAACTGACAGATTTCGTGCGTCAAAATTTGACCACAGATGAGTTATGTCCAGAGATTTTTCAGTGGTTTTCATTTCCAATACTTGTATTTTACCACCACTGAGGTTCCAGATTCTACCTTCGGTTGTATGGATGTATTCACTAGCCTGCTGGTAATACCCAGACAAGTCGGAACAACTGTATAGTGATTATAAGGTTTCGACGCTGTTCACGGCTTCATTTGTCCTGCCCAGGACGACATTTGCCAAGTATGTGACCAAGTTTAATATTTCTTTATAAATGCTTGATGATCCTAAGAATATTCGCTAATACCCTCACATAGGTTGTGAATAATTTTGGTATACCTGCATTTTATTTAAACTGTAATCAATTTAAGATCAATTTAATATTTATCCTAATTAAACTAACAGGAAGAACGATCACGATTAGGTAAAAATAGTGACCCCAATCGTCCAGAGGACTTTTACTTTCAAGGAATGCGTTTAAGGTAGGGCACGGGTAACTAAATGCAAAATCGCTCGTTTGCAATTCACCAATGATTTTTGGTTCTTTCAAATGAGTAACGGCGGATTTGATTCAATTTCAAAGGTGAATTTGTCATGTATATAGCAAATGAAGCGTGAACTGAAAAGCTAGGAAGCACGGAACAGCTGTTTCAACCTGGTTGGGTCTCCCCAGCAGTGCTAATCCATCGATCCAACTGGAGTTCGAACCTAGGACCTCATGGGCAGAACGCAAACATGCTACCCACTCTTGCGTGCCTCTCTGACTATCGGGTAAAGCCTGCGTAATTTACAGGTGGTTACTTAACTTACTTCGGGATGCGTTGATCTCTGAGAGCACACATCGACACTTTTCTTTGTTTGTTTGTCGTACCACCTGTTAGGGCTTAGCAAAGTCATGTATAAATTATCTACTCCACCCTGGTCCTAAACTGCATCGGTCTCCGCCTGTGCCGGTTATCTTTTGTCAAGTGAAACAAGCCCCATGGTCTCTCGTCCAGGAATCTCCGATTCTGCGCACATCATTCAGCAAGCTATCAAAACAGAAGTTGTGCGATAACAGTAGACATTCACGACAATCGGTATCTCTTAAAGCGTTTTAGCCGCTAAATTTCTCAACGTTGAAGAATAGTGTGACCAATCAAGTCAAGTCAAGTCAGTAGTAGCTTTATGCACCTGAATGGGTGTATTTTCAGCAATTACAGCTTATTTGTGGATTCAAATTTACAAACTGATTACATAATGAAACTGAAATCAATGAGGTGTTTATCAATGAAGCAAGCGGTTGCGCAATTCTGTAGAGATTTTGTCCTTGCCGATAAGTAGACGTCCTAGATATGACAGAGCAGAATTACGATAAGCAGAGTTACGTAACCAAATTGATTGTATAAATTGATTTGGTAATATGAATGCATTTCACTGATAGATTTGCTGCCAGTAGTTCCGGTTGTTTCCACGATTGAGTTGACTATCTGCTTTGAATAAGTCAGCATGTTGTAACCTTCCTATCGCTTGTCTATAACTATGTAATTGTTTGTAAGGTTACCGATCCGCAGCATCACCTGTGATTTGAAACTAATTACGTGTGTACTGTCCCCGAATGTCAATCAGAATGTTGATATTCACCTAAATTCGTTGACAAATACACCGTAGTTTACAGTGACTAGTTTGTTAGCAATGAAACTCTTTTGATTTCAAAGCAGTTTTCATCGCAAACAATGAATCGTGGATAGTTTTAGATCATGTATTTTTTACTGATTTTTGTTTTCCAAGTATATGACCGTTTATCTCGCACTTCATTCCACTGGGTCTTTTAGTTGTTCTTTGGCACCTAGTTTAGATGAACACGTGAAGGGTCGAAGTATAACATTGGGTGCAGTAACATAACGAATACATAACTGTTGGCAGATGACGATCCAGATTAAGAGAAATTAATGAGATTTTCTTAGACGCATATCTGAATTTCCATCTACATAATCCATGCTAAAATATAAACGACAGTCTACAAATTTGACTAAATTTGTATGACTGGGTTGAAAATAGACGATTCCACGAGAAAGTGCAATCAATATCGAGAGTAACAACAAACAGTTGTTGGAAGTATTTCTGTATAACTACCGTTGTTTTGTCCACAAACTCCGTTGGGCACTATCTCATTGATACAAGTTGTTTGAGTGTGGCAAAATACCCTTTAGCATCGTTATCAGCTGACACTGAGGTCAGTTAGTTTGGTATACGCAGCAACAGTCGTGATTTTCATCCGTACCCCAGGTTGTGTTTGATACACTAGAGATAAACTTGATTTGGAAAGGAAAATGGTTGATCCATTTCAGTACGGCTTAACGAATTACACTGATTCCTCCTTGGAGGTTTCTCATCGCTTTCTTCCTGTCGGATGAACGTGTCCACTTTGTGCTCGGTATGAAAAGTGTACGAGTTCAACTTGAATTACAGTTAACTTGCATCCAAGTCTGTGAAATATGCTGAGACCGGAAGTGGACCCCGTCTGTCTCACGAAACGACCCGATTCAGGACAAATGCACCATGGTCACGCGTGCTAATGAACCGTCAGTCAGGTTAAATAACCGGACACAGATTCTCCTCCTCGACAGTGAACTTGACAAGTGGATGAACCACACAGATGTGAGCTTTGGTAAGGATATATTTTGTGTTACTAATGTCACATACATTTGTTCTGATCAATCGATACACGTCAGTGGTTAACTTACTTAAATACATTACTTGGAATATGTACTTCTTAGATAGAAGAATTCTCTGCTTGAACCATTCCAGATCTGACAGACTAAAGATGAAAAAGAGGGCTTAACAATGGATCACAACTAGGCAGCCCAATTAACACGTTTGACCACATTCTTGTGTATGATACCAAAAACCACTTTGGTCAATTTGAAAATAAAAAGTGTTGTACCATATGGAACCCAATTTAGGCGAAGTCTGCTATGAAGATAAAAAGCCATTTTCAACCAACAGCTGTTATTCATTTGTTTCAACCAGTAAAATATTTTTTGCTGCATGGAATGCTGTTCCACTCAGCACGGTTAGGTGAAGGATTCATTAAATAATGCTGGATATTACGTAACATTTCAACAACTGAACGCAGGCATTCAACTGAAATCGTGAAATGTTGCAACTGGAGCTCTAGTGTAGGACAACACAACAATGTGTTCAAACGAGTGTAAGCCTTACGAGGGAATACGTAAATAAGGACGGAAAATCAAATTTAATGACTAACCGTGAATTGTTTGGTTACGTAACTGATATTCATCCTGTTTCAGCTTCATGATTTCATAGAAATTAATAGTTGCTCGATTACTTGAATTGGAAAGTTTAAAATAGTTTACTTTCTGCCCATAGATCACATTCCCGACGACGGTGGGCTGTTAGCTGGGTTTTGTTGTAGGCTAGTCTAACCTACTGGTACTAGGTAAGCAATCAACGAAACGACCTTTTCCGCGTCCAAGACAATTCGGTTGATATTCTGTAATGCAGTCGCCGTATGAGAGCGTTACTCGTGTAGTACTCTGTGGCAACAACTCTTTCCTAATCAATATTTCTTCAGAAAATGACTACAGATTGCTCCCTAACCGTTTATTTCAAGTTATTTTCAGGATCCATATGTACAGTTCTCCATTTGCATCAAGTGATACTTTGCAATGGGTTGTAGTTTTCAACCGGAAAACCTATGCCTTCAATCCCGAAGCACCATTGAATTATTGTGGAAGAATGAGCTAATTGCACGGGCCTCACCAACCTATTTCCGTTTGTGCCTTTACTTCGATTTTGTCTGTAAACTTTATCCATGTGATTTCTCAGATTACTTCCATACGACAATGCAGCTGAAGGTAGCCCTTTGTTGATCAAGTGATCGTCATGTGTTGTGCATGTGGCCCCTAGCTGTTGCTTTCCACATGACTCATTGTGCATTAAGATCGCCAGTTTGTCAAGGTTCATGTGCAAAAACGGAGTGCTCTGATTTCCGAAGTTACATTATAGATGATCCGAGAAAGAATGTAGTGGACTTTTCATTAAATCTAACATCACAATTGCAGTACTCAAAATGTGATGATGATATGTAAGAGGCAAATTCTATGCAGGTAAAAATCGAATAGTCAGAGGGAAATAGGCCTGAAACTCCATGCAATCAAGATTGAGGTATAAACATTTTGAACTTTGCTGTAAAGCGTATGCACAAAAAACGCTCACAAGAAATTCTGTTCTGTTTAGACACATTGATTTGGCTAACAACCTCACCATATCAGATAATCTGACTTGGCGAGGTAGAAATAAATTGAGACAGAAGTCTTTCGTGGAAGCTTTTCAAGTCAGGAGTCACTTAACCGAGTTGGCAAAGATCTACCTGTGATTTAGTAGATGCTGTTGGACATAAGGTTGCCGCATCCACATCGGTTCTCTCGTTTCCTGTGGACGGAATAGAGGCCGCATGAGCGTTTAATTGGAATCTATAGACAACGAACTACACACAAACGGCTTCCAAAGTTCACTTGCGACAAAAAGATGCTAGGTACTCAACACGTAATAAACGCCGCATTAATGCAGACGACTACTAAAGCTCCTACGGTTTATGAGCGACTAAAGCTGGTGTTGAAATCATTTCAATGTCGTCCTCAAAACAAACTACAATCATCCAAAATCGAAACCACACCACTTCGTTACGGCACAAACTTCAACCTCAGGTAAGTGGTTTCAACCGGTCAAAGTTTACGTAGAATAAAGCTGCTAAAATCTTTTGAATCCGGGAGTGGTTAGTCTCAAGAACAGTTCATTAGTGTATGCTTTCATACGCCAATTCCGAATTTGAAGACAAATTAACACAATTTCTAACGGAAAATCAAGAATGACAATCACAATCCAATCTTAAAACTCATCATCAATTGTACTGTACAATTTGAGTCCTACTCAGTGATTGCGTTTAATTGGTTGAATGGAATTCATAATGAGTGAACAGCTATTGGGTGTGTTTCTCATGATTTCATCCATTTGCCGAAATTACTCTATATATCCATTGGAGTATTTAAAACAGTCAATTCAGAAGACAAACACTACAAGAAGTATTCCTTTCATATACTCTTATCGGCCGCGTACGTAAAACAATAAAAAGGTAAACAAATGAAGTGGATCAACAAATCTAGTTCGGTTTTATCGAACATCTGTGTGAAATAATGTAGTTTTTCTCTTTTCACCCAAAAGCTTAACTACTAAAATCATCTTTTCGATACCCTGTCGCTGAGTGATTACTCACTTGCAGTTATGAGTTTATATTTGAAAGTGTTGAGTAAATCACTGTCTGTATAGCGAGCCCATCTAAACAGGATCGTTTACAAATAAGGTATCTTTGTCATGCAAACAGATGTATAATGACGGAGTTGTGAAGACCTTTTAGTTTACTGCTGTGAACAGTATATTATTCTAACATTTATGGGCTGCTGGAGAACGGAAAACCCAAGGTAACAACACGCTCAAGGATTCACAATGGTGATGATACGAAAAATTATTCAGAGTGAATGAGTGGTTATTCACGACTACGGGCTACGCTGCGAACTGATTGATTACCATTTAAAATACTAGGGTTCAATAAAATGCCAGATTTAACGAGGCCAGCTTCAACAGCCCATTGAAGAACGTTGTTCTCTTGGATCCAAACATTCATCGATCCAATTGGTTTGACCCGCTCGGGTCACCGTGACAGAGCGGTGCACATAATTATCACTTTTATTAAAAGGACAGATTCTCCACACACAGATTTTCAATCGCTACGGAAAAGAACTCAAAACTCTTCAGAGAATATCCGTTGATGATTATCAAT